GAAGAAAGTGCCCTCCCTAGTGTCTATGCACTGCAGACTGAAGTTGACTTAAAAGGACTCCTGGAAGAGTTCTCAGACTTATTTCAAGATCGACTTGGCTGTTGTAAAGGTAAGCTTGTTAAGCTGTACAAGAAAAAAGGGGCTGTGCCATGGTTTTTAAAGGCCCGCCCGGTGCCCTTCCCGCTTCGCAAAGCAGTCTCGGCAGAAATCGACCGCCTCGTGCAGCAAGGCGTCCTAACCCCCAGTGAGCGTTTCTGAATGGGCTGCTCCTGTCGTACCAGTGGTGATGAAAAATGGAGACATCAGATTGTGCGGTGATTTTAAGCTCACCGTGAATCCGGCCATTCACCTGGAGCTAAGGTGTATGATATTTTTAGTGCGTTTTACGAGGGAGAAGTATTCACTACACTGGATTTGAGAAATGCCTATAACCAGCTCCCACTAGACGAAGAGGCGAAGAAGATGACTGTCATCAATACTCACCAGGGCTTGTACTCATACAACCGACTGGCCTTCGTCATCTGGTTGGCTCCCACACTGTTCCAGCGGCGCATTAAGTCGTTATTACGGGACTTGCCAAGAGTACATGTATATCTAGACGACATCATAATGGCCGAGAAAGAACAGGACACGTCCACACTTCGACAAGTTTTCCAGAGACTTCAGGACAATGGCCTCCAACTGAACTAGGTCAAATTTCGGTTGCTTAAAAAGAAGTGCTGTTTTTTTGGCATAAGATTGTTGTGACCGGCCTTCACCCACTTCGCGACAACATTCAAGCCGTAACAGCTACTCCAAGGTCAGAATCGGTAAGCCAACTCAAGCCCTTTCTAGGGCTCATAATCTATTACTCAAAATTCTTACCGAATTGGGCCATGATCTTGACTTCGCTCTATCGCCTACTGCTCAAGGAAGAATGCTAAAACTGGAAAAAAGAGCATCAAAAAGCATTCGAAGAAGCGAAGTGTGCCTTGTTAAAGGTGAATTTTCTGCTTCACTACGATCTGCAGAAAAAGTTGCGGCTGGAGTGTGACACTTCATCAGATGGTGTAGGGGCAGTATTATTGCATCGCATTGATGCCGTGGATCACCCGATAGCATTTCAATCGAGAACGCTGACGTCAGCAGAATGCTACTGTTCCCAAATAGAGAAAGAAGCGCTGGCTTTGGTGTTTGGAATTCGCTAATTCTGCGATTTCTTGCTGGGAGACCGTTTCACGTGGGTGACAGATCATAAGCCACTCACTGAGCTTTTCCATTCCAACAAGCCCATCCTGCAGTTGGCGGCAGCTCAGATTCAGCGTTGGGCGCTCCTTGTATCAGCTTACCAGTACAATCTAGAATACCGCTAGGGAAAACACCATGGTAACGCAGATGACCTTAGTTGCTTGCTTTTGCCAGGGGATCATGAACATGCAAGTTGATAAGTGACCACAATACGATGATAAGTGATGATAAGTGATGATAAGTGATGATAATAGATGATAAGTGAAAGCAATACGTATGTAACGTAGCGTTTGGAGGCATGTGCACTTCCATCTAACCAAATGATTGCTTTAACCCAGGAGGACAGCATGCTTCGGCAAATCTGGGAGTGCATCCAGCAAGGCTGGCCATCACATTTCACAGAGCAGCAGCAATATCTGCAACCGTACTTCACCCGCCGACATGAACTTGCTGTGAGCCATAGCCTTGTTTAATGGGGTCATCTTGTGGTCGTGCCAGTAGCGGCCCGGCAGTGCCTACTCAACGAGCTGCACCACACTCACCCATGTGTTGGGCCCATAAAGAGGCTCATTCGTACGCTGTTCTGGTACCTTGAATTTGACAAAAGATATTGAAAGGTTGGCGCAAAACTGTTCTCAATGTGTGCAAGGGTGGTCTATGCCTGCGGCGCAAGTACCTTCACTGTGGCTTAAGACAGCGAAGCAGTGGCTTCGAGTTTGCATGGATTTTGCAGGTCCTGTTGAGGTCCTAGTTTGCAGGTCCTAGTTGACGAGGAAAACGGCTACTACAGACACAACTATTCACTTGCTTAGAAAAATTGTTTGCTCATTTTGGTATCCCGCCCTGTGCAATTTCTGACAACGGCCCCCAGTTTTCGAGGGCAAGGATGGCAAAGTTCTTGCGTGAGAAATAGCATGTACCATGTCAGTAACGGTGCCGTACCACCCACAACCAAATGGACTAGCGGAGCGAGCAGTGCAAACAATAAGAGGGCCTAAAGAAAAAAGAAGCGAAGCAATTTGCAAGAAATATTGTCTCGTTTTCTGTTCTGTTACAAATCTATCGAGAGTGGCAAATCGCCAGCACAACTGCTGCTAGGATTCGAGCCCAGGACAAGGTTGTCCACGGACTTTCCAGCAGGGAAGGTGTTTGTCGAGGCTACCTGAGAACAACCTTTGTCAGCCAAAACACCACCACTTTTCCCACCCGGAAAGCCCATCTGGTCCCGCCAATTTCAACAAGGGTAGAAATGGCTGCCAGGACGGTAATAGCAACAAAAGGCAATCGGATAGTGGAGGAGACCACCCTTGGAACCCAGCACCATCATGTTGATCAGCTGAGGGCACAAGTGACGTCAACCATGCCGGAAAGAGGGCATTGAAAGCAGCGCCAGTTAAGCGAAAACTCAGCCTGACGCAGATGCTTGAGAACCTAGAGCAACATTGAACTCCAGTCCAGTGACCCCTCAGTTGCCCATCTCGATGCGAGTAACCTGGGCGCCGGAAGCTGTCCCAAATTTACTCTGCCGTTCATCGCGAACAAGACGCCCTCTGGAACAACTGGGCTTTTGAAGGGGAATAAGACGTAGCGTCATCGATAAACCGCTATCACCCGCAAATTTTCTTATCACTTGTTAGCAAGCCTTGATGTACTCAGCCACAACTCATGTCGGGACTCACGTGGTTTTAAAGTCTATATAAAGGCCAAATACCAAGTATTAAACAGTTCAGTTTGTGTTGCTGTTACGTTGTGCCACTTTAGCACGCCATGCCTTTATTCTTAAACAAGAGATTCCTTGCATTTGAAGCCTCATAGCCATATGGAGTGGTTACAGTTAGCAAGCTGGAGTGCATTTACCACATTCAGAAAAGAATGTGCCCAGAATTAAGAAAATGAGAAAAGGCAGAGTCATAGAGTTTACTAAAATTAACTAGAGGGGACTCTGGCACTGCGATCACTCAGCGACCATGGGAATTATGGGTAATACACAGCTTTGCCTAGACTACATAGTTGCGGGCGGCGAATCGTACTTGCGACTTTGTTTATTGCTGGTTACGGTTTCATTTTGTAGGAAAGAACAAACCCTTTTGAATTTCATGATCCGATTCGAAATGGTAAGCCTAAAAGAATAAGGTGGTGAAACGCAAGTGCTGAACCTTTGCTGTTTTTTTTTTATCTGAGAAAACAGCTCCAAGCCGCACGAACACACACGGAGCCAGAAGCAGGCCAGAAGTACGATGATTATACAAATACGTGTACTACCTATCATTCCCATGCTCGCTGAAGCGCCGTGCGTTGCAGCTCCAATAGACACTAGAGCCAGAGTTTCCTCTAGTGTATATTAGGAAACTCTGTGGGCAGAGGCATCAAGCTTTCTGTCGGGAAATTTATATCTGGCCTGGGACGTCTTGAGGGTGGAGGTGGCGATTGGAGAAAACTTTTTTGTTTGTTGACCTAGAGTAATAAAACTTTTCAGGCATACTGAAGAGTGTCTCGAATAGATATGAAGTTTCATTGCAATATCTCAAATAGTTTTCAAGTTACACTACGTTACATAATCTGATGACATAGTCTGCTGGTGAAAAGCCTAGCATTCTTAGAAAATATGCTAGAAAGGTCCAAGTGGTTTTGATCTTTATTCAAAAGAACACTACACAGGATGGCATTATCAAAAATTGTCTATTCCTTTTAGTTTAAAATTTTTATAAATAACATCCCCACAAGCTTTATGTATTGCATGAAAACTTCTCATGCACTGTCACATAAAAAAAAAAAACTAGATCATAAGAAAGGTAATGAATAATGCCATCTTGTCAGCAAGGCTTCCAATATGGTTACCAAAGGATAGAAAACACAATCTGGGAAGGCAGAGAGTTGGACAGAGGGAAGAAATTAGGAAAGCTGCAGGAATAAAATTGTATCAGCTCGCGCAGGACAGGGTAAACTGAAGATCATTAGGAGAGGCCTTCGTCTTGCAGTGGACTAACGAAGGCTGAGAATGATGATTATGATTTTTTTAGAATGAAAGTAACTTTAATTGCTCATCTCATGCAGTGTATCATTCAATTTTTTCAGATATTGACATTTTAACTTTTTCATTCATCTGAGGTCTATAGTACCTATCCAAAGCATTGCTTATGTCTTGTTTTTGTTTTAATTACTTTGCTTTCAGCTTAATGTTTTAATGTTTTAACCACTCAAATTTTTCGTGTACCAGATAGAAAAAAAAAGAAGGAAAATATACCCCAGGAATTCGCTCTAAAACTAACTTGTGTTGCTCTGAAACACGCCTTTTGGTGCTCCAAGGCTGCTCCCGAATTCACGTTTTAGAGCTCCAAAGCTGCTCCGAAACAGCATTATTCCTGCTCCCTGAGCTGCTGCTAATGAGTGAAGCCTGCTTCCACTACCTGCAAGTAGCAGCTATATACCTCATTTAATGTACCACAAGTGGGCAGGCAATAAAGACATAAGTTTATTTTTAATGCTGCTGCTTCATTATATTTAGTTTATTATTTAAACGACTTTGTCACGCAATATTGCCTGCACATCATAAAGCAGAAAATAAAAGTTTATCCTATCCAATCCAATCATAAAGCAGAACTAAATGTAGTGTGAGCTGGCTGCCCGAGTGGGATACTTCTGTAGACAACCACTTATAGCTGACAGTAATCATTGTCCTACATGTCCCGTGACTGTCAGTGAAATGCTTTGAAGGTAGCTAGATAAGCTCCTACATGCGTGAACCTCATGCATAGCAAAAATAAATGTTGCAGTTTTGCCTGGCAAGCAGTGGCTCTCCAGAGAAGACTGAAGCAAGACTAACGGTCTTGGCAACTATGGCAGCTCTGAATGGTGCAGCAGTGGGCAAAGTGATTGCTTTAAAGACAGGTAAGTTTATGCAGGATCTTTTTAATAGGCTTGTGCGAACAGTGAATTTTAGATTCGAAGCGAATAGTGACTCTGGTCGAATAATTTAGAATCGAAGTTGAATGGTATGTATGACACATAAAAACAAAAAGGGAATATTTATCATCGACAGTATTTTTTTAAATTGAAATAAGGGCTCTATGCAAATGCCATTTTTTTTTCATTCATAGGAAATGGAAACAACTTTGAGTAAAAGCGGTATGTGAGTTTCAGTAGGATATGAGTGATAACCTGTAAAATACGGAACATTTAAAAATCCATTAAAATCTACATATAAGCCATCATAATAAGCTTTTAAGCTTAATGAAAGGATGAAGTGGTTTGAGGATATTATGTTCATTTAAAGGGGCCCTGCAGTTCTTTTTAAAGTAACCAAGGAATGGATTCACTAAAGAAGCTTATTGCCTCAAGAATTTACCACCTCCAAATTTTTAAAATACATGCAGTACGAGCGGACTTTCGAAGATTTGTCGCACGCTGCAATCGCATTCTCTCTTCTCTCGTCCCGACGAAAGAGCTGGAAACTAAGCAGGGAGGGATGGCCCAGGAAAAGAAAATATGTCACGCACGCCTCGTGAGCTCGAGTACTTTCTCTCTTTTTTTTTCTTCGAACAAACGGCTTTTCAGTGCGATGACGCACGTACGTGTGGACAAGTGACAACCTCCCGTGGCGGCCCTAGTAACGACCGAGCGCGCCATGCTCAAATCAGCCAGTGGCTGTGACAAGTGATTTTTGAGCTTGTAGTGTGATTTGCTGTGAGAAGAGAGTAATTTTTAGCTGACTTTAAGAATTTAATGTGAATTGCAGATCGCATGCTGCGCTGTAATATTTGGCTCGTGTGTTTTTGGTAGCTTCAACTACTGATCGGCAGCATTTTCTGACCATGCTAAATAACTCCTAGTTCACACTGAAGCATCCGCTTTCTACTGCGAGGGAAATTCTCCTGTCGCCAAAACGCAGTGTTGTTCGCACTGGACACGCACTGCGCCGCCGTATTCACTGAGTAGCTGCAGTGTGCTATCTGCCGAATGAACAACCAACCACGAGGCGAGCGCGGAATGGATGGGCTGTTCCCTGGATTTTGTCGCTGGCTTGCAACTTCAGTGCACCCATGAAGAGTTCATCTTCTCGTTTTGTGCGTTTGAACACTCGTTGCAACTCTGAAGTGAAAGACAACTACATCACAAGGTGCGCGCGATTCAAGGGGCAAAGTAACATAGGCAGAGAAACTCGTACTTATCTGTCAATCTGAGCTCGTTTCCTATTTTATTCCTTAAGTCGTCATTTATCAAGCTGTCCTCTTGCTTGGGGTTGCGTTTGTCGTATAGGACAGGATGGTTGCGCACCAATTCATTGAGCATTTCTGCTGAGCGCACATTACTTGACTGTGACATGACGAGCCAGTCGGACTTGGCCGTCATTTTTTTAGTTTGGTGGCTAGCACTCCTATTGGTTCGCAGCGAGCTGATTCGGCGGCCGACGCCGCGAAAATCGGTTCGAGAGTAATTGGCGCGGGGAGGTTTCTTTCGGTGGATCTCGCCGCCACAGAATCACATTCGGAGCACCTTTGGCGGCTGGAATGCTCAGTGTGAATGAGCCTTGAGTATTGCAGGGTCCCGTTAAATTTGTAGGGGGGCTTTGCGGTAGAGTGGATAGGTGCTTTCATGGCTTAGCATGCCTGCACTGCTGTGATTTATACCTTTACAGGTGGTTACATGCGGACTAATATTCATCTATTTGTTCATAGCGAATACTTTGAAATTTTCAATAATTTAAATTTGAATCGAAGGGAATTTGAATACTGTACTGTTTGTTTGAATATTAGAAGTATTTTAATTATCGCACGAGCCTACTTTTAAATTATAAATAGTATCATGCTGTCTATCAGTTGCTTAACTCTTTCATTACTATGCCTATTCAAATCGATCACCGGTGATCGACGCTTTTGGATCGTTGATATTGGCATGTTAGATTTGTTTTTCGTGCAGCCAGCATTTTCTAGTAGTTAGTCTAGCCATTCGACTTTCAAAATCAATTTGAATTGGCCCATTTTGGCAACATAGTAATTTTTGACAGACCTTTGAGCAAACCAATGTGCGTGTATACTGGAAAAGTGCAGTAAGCTGGTGAACTTGACAGAAGTGCGTGCCCCTCGTGATTATGCTACAGTAACATCGAAGTTTTGTAATGAAAAGAGCATTTGCAAGCCAAATATTCACTTAAAGTGTCAGCTTTGCAATTTCACAATGTTGAGCAGTAATTATTGCCAGAAGTTTATGCCAGCTATTCAATAGAGAGCTGTTCCTAGGAGTCAGGGAAGATTTGTTCTACAAAAAATATTTACTAAGGTTCGTTGTGTGTTTAAAGTGTTGAGGTGGCCTTCTCTGACAGTTTCCAGCACCTTTGGTTTTGCTTGCATCGTTATATCAGACACAGGCTCGCATTTAGAGTCACTAGTTGCTGCTATGACGTCGTCGTCCCGCGCGCATGGGTACACACCAGCGCTGCAAAACACATGCACTGCTCGAAACTGTCTTGTGACCCCAGCTAAATTGAGTGAGGGCGAGCTTAGAGTTAGAGGGTGACAGCACCTCAGCTTCAAGTTTTATGGCGACGGTGTTTCATGTCAGCCTGAGAGATCCGCAGCCATTCATGGGTTTGTTTTGTTTTTATCCTCAAGTTGTCTCCTCCGCCGCAAGTGCATATAGCTTCTGGCCTTTGTGCATAATCATAAAGCTACTCTGGTTACATGCGAGGACCACACTTCGCTGGGGCGTGGTATGCTGGCGCCAGGTGCAGACCTTCTCCTAACGACAAGAATATCCCCGGAGCACATCTTGGCCCTGACTACGTAGCAGTGCGAAACGCTTTAGAACTGTGCGCAATATTGTCTTTTTTTTAAAATACATTATACGAAAAAATGCAATGAAATATGCTTGGATGCATATATTGGAATGCCAACCTATGAGAAGTGGGGCAGCTCATGGATTATTCACATGGGCATTCATTTATATTGGAAGACCTGGAGACTCTTAACGCAACAAAACAAAAATTTACTGAGAAAAGTGTACGAGTTCACTTGTGCCTCACGAAAAACCATGCAATGCTTCTCCGCATGGCACAAGCAATGAAGCAGCACCTCAGTTCTGATTTTCATTGTCTTTGTGAAGAGAAACACTTTGTACAACATTCATTATTTTTTATATTGTTACTGGGTCATTGATCTACAAAACATATATTGTGAATTTTCCTTGTTTTGAATATTTTTGCATTTATAGTGTTTTTTATTGTACTGTGTACCACCTAACAATAAAAAAATTACACAATACTCACATCTTTATTTTAAAATATTTTTGTTGCTCTACAACATATAATTTTTCGAAAGAGCATTTCATTGTGCAAAGTTTGGTATGCTGCAATGCTCGCTGGAGTACTTTGCAAACTGGCAAAAATGATCTTCCTGAGACATGAAAAACAACTACTTTTGCGTGGTTAAGGGGCGACGTAGCAATGAAAATGAGCCCCGCCGCGGTGGTCTAGTGGCTAAGGTACTCGGCTGCTGACCCACATGTTGCGGGTTCGAATTCCGGCTGCGGCGGCTGCATTTCCGATGGAGGCGGAAATGTTGTAGGCCAGTGTGCTCAGATTTGGGTGCACGTTAAAGAACCCCAGGTGGTCGAAATTCCAGGAGCCCTCCACTACGGCGTCTCTCATAATCATATGGTGGTTTTGGGACGTTAAACCCCACATATCAATCAATCAAAGCAATGAAAATGATTTGATTATTTATTGAGATGAAGTGGTAAAATTTGGCATGCAGGTGTGATTTGTTTAGCTGATATCATAACCAAAGGTGATTCTGCACTATGTAATGTTTTTGAGTTAGACTACTTAATAGACTCTCATTGTTATCCCAATACAATTAAAGGGACCGACAACTGCCCAGAACATCAAATGAGATGACTGTATGGATGGAATTATTATCTCTTATAGTGACTCAAACCAACCCTGTTTTTCTCGTGAGAAGTGTTGCTATATTTTCATTGCATTGAAAAATTGCAAAAATGGCCTGTTGCACCATCTGGTGGCAGAAACTTCAATTATTAGATGTACCCTGTCATGTGACCGTAGGCTGGTGCACGTGGTCAACAGTTTTCTCCTTAGTATTGAAATGTTGTTTGCTTCTTTATAGTGAAAGATATTACTCCGTAAAAATATACATGTAGGTCTGCGTTAGTCGTGCACATTAAAGTGGCACTGCCTTTACATTTTCATTTATTTATTTATTTATTTATTTTGCCCTTAAAGGGCAAAATAAATAAATAAATAACATAACGCAAAGATCCCATGCTCATCAGCACGTCTTGAGCAACTCTTCTGAATTCTCATGAAACCATGCATGCAGTTTCCATGTCGCTAAGATTTTGGAGGGACGTGGTTTTCCTACTCACATGATGTCTCATGGCGAATTCCACTCGTCGAGCGGGAGCAAGTTTTCTTGCTCTGCAGCTGACAATCCGCGTTTCGCTGGTAGATTCGGAGCAAGTTCCCATTTTCCACAGGTAGATTCGGAGCAACCCACTCTGCGATGGCGCGTTCCGCGTCCTCTGTTTGCAGAGATGGATTTTGCCGGAACTCCGAGAATGCGTTGCTGTCATTTCCGGTACAGTCAAGCTGCTAGGTTGTCTTCAGCGTTTTTTTTTTTTGTTTTTGAGGTGGTCTAGTAACCCTGTGCACTTGTTTAAAACCAATCCTAAAATCGGAAAGTGGTGTCCCTGCTTTCCGCGACCGCGTGGTCGAAATGCGTGCTTTGCAATGGCAAGCGACACAGTTGCCATTGAAACGTAAAGAGCGGAAAACAAGATCGTTTCAGGTATGGGTTTAGTGACGTATGCGCAAACAACTTTCGGAGTGACCTCACGCTAGGCATTCCCGTGTTCCACTCGCAGATCTGGCTTAG